AGGAGAAACATTTCCAGTTGAAGTATTCTTTAGTAAAGCTTGTATTGAAGATTATGTTGATGCTGCTGTTAAACAATCTATTCAAATACATTTAGGTGCTGATGATGGTTAGCTCATTTTTTTTTAATCAATTTATAATGATCTTATTTTTATCTTTTTCTAGGTGATATTCTGGTTTTTATGCCTGGTCAAGAAGATATTGAAGTAACATGTGAATTAATCAAAGGCTTGTACAATAAAATTTTTATTTTGTATTCTAATAAGAAGTTTGCTTTTCAGAACGTTTAAATGATATTGAAGGTGCTAATCCATTAAATATTTTACCAATCTATTCTCAATTACCCAGTGATTTATTAGCAAAAATTTTTCAAAAAGCTAATGATGGTATTCGAAAATGTGTTGTTGCCACAAATATTGCTGAAACATTACTAACAGGTATAAAATGAATTTTTTAAATTTTTGGAAAAATAAATCATTGAAATTTTTCTAGTCGATGGTATTATGTATGTTGTGGATTCGGGTTATTGTAAACTAAAAGTATATAATCCACGTATTGGTATGGATGCTTTACAAATTTATCCAATTAGTCAAGCAAATGCAAATCAACGAATGGGTCGAGCTGGTCGAACAAGGCCAGGGTAAACTTTCTATTACAAGAATTAAAGATGATCTTATCTCCTTAATCGTTTGTTGGCTATATACATCTTCTATTAAAATCAGAGATTTGTAATTTCAACCAATTAACGGTCTCGTTTAAGGGTACCGTCTTCATTCTTTTTTTGGTCATTTCTAGTTCTCGAAGACAGTGCAACTGATCTGTCGGACATTTTTATTGCAGATAGAATAGCTAAAAGAACAAGATAAGTGCTCGAGGGTAAACTTGTAAACAAAATTTTTCCGTTTTTTTTTTTTTTTGTGAAAATCCTAATTTCCCATAGAATCGCACCTAGACACATTATGATTCCCATCTGACTTTGTTCGATGGAATAGAGCACTTTTTGAAGACATCTAAGCCTATATCATAGAGATAGTTGTATGCTTTGTCAAAAATTTCATTTTCTTTTTCCTTTTGAGAAAAATACGTGAAATTTTGGATCCAAAACCGGAACATTTCCATTCAAAACTCTATAAATCTGAATAGGAAATTCAAAAACGAAAACGGTCGTTTTCACCTCTTGAGGGAGATCCTATGGAAAAAAAATGCGAAAACCTTGTTTACAATGTTTTTTTACTCGAACACGTGTCATTTTATTTTAGATACTCTATCTATGATAAAAAGTTTCAGACAGATTGGTCGTACCTCTCTTCGAAAGTCAGAAATGGTCAAAAAAGAGGAGAAACAGTACTCTCAATATACTTCATTTCTTTATCCAATATTTGTCTAATATTCTTATTTGTTATAATTCTACAATTTCATCTATATTTTATATCTAATCAATCAAGACGATTATTTGTAGTCACGTAAACAAGACAAACTTAAGTCTCTCCATTCTCATCGAAGTTTTGAGCCTCCTATCGAATCGAATTGTGCCTGTTACAATTTTCACAAGTTCGACCTCTCTTCTCCTTGGACAAGAATTATCTAGCTCGATTGTTCCATTGTGAAAGTTCTGGTTATACTACTATTGATTGATGCTGTCCATTGATACTTCTGCCTATGTAACGGATGCTGGAAATAATGGATGTAATTACATGATAATATAACCTGTTTCATGCATTTATAATGCATTATGTTTTCAAATAATGCATTACTATTAATTATCTTCGAAAAAATATTATTAAATAGGTTGCATTATCATGTAACTAAATCCATTATTTCCATCATCGACTATATGGATGATAGACATTATCTCTAATAGAAATGTTCGATGTCTATAGAAAATAAGATCATCTCCCAATTTATCGCATTTTCAAATTGTTAACTATGTGATATTAATTTGTTAATTTTTTATTTCTTCTTCTAGTCAATGTTTTCGTCTATATACTGAACAGAATTTTCGTGAAGAAATGCTCGAAAGAAATGTACCTGAAATTCAACGAACTAATTTAGTTAATGTTGTTTTATTACTTAAATCACTTGGTATACAAGATCTTCTTCAATTTCATTTTATGGATTTACCATCACAAGTAATCATTTTTATATTAAAAATAAAATACAAATCATTTTTTTTTCTACAGAATAATTTAATGAATTCAATGTATCAATTATGGATATTAGGTGCACTTGATAATACAGGTTCATTAACACAATTAGGTCGTCAAATGGTTGAATTTCCACTTGATCCAGCATTATCAAAAATGTTGATAACTTCTGTTGGAATGGGTTGTAGTAGTGAAATTCTTGTAAGTTTTTATCATCTTTTTTTTCTTTCGTTATTAATTAATTAAAACCTTTTCTTTAAGATAATTGTATCAATGCTTTCTGTTCCATTGATATTTTTTCGACCAAAAGGAAAAGAACAAGAATCTGATGCTAAATTAGATAAATTTCAAATTGCTGACAGTGATCATTTAACATTTCTTCATATTTATATTCAATGGATAAAAAGTAAATATTCAAATAGTTGGTGTGCTGATCATTTTATTAATGCCAAAGCTATGAGAAAAGTTCGAGAAGTTCGACAACAATTAAAACATATAATGAGTTCACAAAAATTAGATATTAAATCATGTACCAATTGGGATATTGTACGAAAATGTATATGTGCTGCTTATTTTCATCAAGCAGCTCAGCTTAAAGTATAGATTCATATTTAAGATTTTATTTTATAATTATTTTTCTTTTCAAGAGTATTGGAGAATATATTAATTTACGTACGACTATGCCATGTTATTTACATCCGACTAGTGGATTATTTCGTTGTGAATTTACATTTGATTATATTGTTTATCATGAACTTATTATGACAACAAAAGTATGTTTTAAATTAAAAGAATAATGTTGTTTTATTTAATTGGTTTTTCTATTTTGTTCTTTCAAAGGAATAAATGCAATGTGTAACATGTGTTGATGGTCATTGGCTTGCTGAATTTGGTCCAATGTTTTTTAGTCTTAAGGATTCACTTAAAACTCGTAGTGAACATGCACGAAAAGAAACACCATTGAATCGTATACAAACAACATCGACATCAAGAAGAAGTACATCATTTCATAGTGAAATTTAATCTATTTTGTCTTCAAATATAGATCTATTGTGTATTCGTGTTTATTATATTTTATACAAGGAAAAAAATTGTGATACTTTGCGTTTTTTTTTATATGAAGAATAGAATTGTTTGTATATGATGACTTTATCTCTTTGTTGATACTAATAAATAGTCAGAAGTAAAAAGATGAATGTTCAGCTCACAACAGAAACAATATAGATATCTTAATGAATGGTTGTCGAATGACGTTTAATTAAACACTTTAGATTCGATCAATAAAAAACTCTTAGTTTGAACTGTATAAATAACAATCATAAAAATCTACAGCTGATTGTTTTCTACTATTTTAAACATTTTTTTGTTAATATGATTTGAAACTAAAATTGATGATAGTCTTGAGTGACGGTGATTATCTACCAGCTCACTTTGTTGAATATTTGATTTATCTTTTTAAATAAATATTAGTGAGCAAAAACGAATCGAACGTGAACTAATTTTCTAAGAGATAGCTAAACACACGCCTAACTAAGTTAAATGAAAACTGATTGATTAAACTATCATCAACGCAAAACAATATGATGTCGTCGGCGAAGATAAACGAATATTTATTTATTGATTGTTTTACATGCTTAATTTAATCTTCATGTACCTCATTCTCTTTTTCTCTTCATAAGTGGACACTAATTTTTGTGTATGGTTGTAGCTCACTTTTATGCAGCATAATTTTATGATTTTATTTTCCATATATTGTTAAAATCGATTTTCAACTAATAACAAATAAATTTACTAAAAGCACTAGGGATTTTTTTTTAATTAGCGAAACAATTCGATGAAATAATGCATATTATTTCAATAAACTATTTTTTTTTAATTATAATATCAATATACACGGCAAAAACTCTTACTGAAGATTGAAACTTGAAATATATGATACTCATTAACTTTTTTACTTATCAAAAAGATATGAATATAGAACAAGAACGATTTCCTTAATCATTTTTTAATATAAACAGCTTGTTATCACATATGTTTGTTGTTCTTGAACGATCGTTTCATCAAACAAGATAAGAAACAAAATGTAGAATGATTATGTTATTTAAATGCTGTTTCATTTTCTCTATGTCAGAAGTATAGTTGATGCTGTTCCGAATGGATAGGAATCGATACGAGTAAAAAATAATTATTCGAACCATAAGCGGTCATAGGTGGTCCTGGATTATAACGTTAGAGCTCCTCTGGTATAAATCAGAGACTGTATCTTCAATATTAAATACCTTTTAATTCAATCATTTCGTCGATAAATTTTGAACGTTTTGAAATAAAAATAATATTTCAATCAAGAAGTGATTCATATTTGGTTTCAATGAAACATATTAATTTTTATTTTTATAGCCTTTTGCAAACTCTCTCTATTACTGTTGTATTGTCAAGTCAATATTTCAATTAGAGTAAGTATATACGAGTCTAGTCTTTTGACTAGTAATACGATTCGCAGTATGGCGACTACGAGTGGCTCTAATGAGCTGCAATACGATTCGCAGTTTGGCAACTACGATTTTCCATTATGGTGAACTCTAAATCGTCTGAAGTGATAAAATCTAGTTTTGCAAAGTAGATAATTTAAAACAATAGAAACTGCGGATTGTACATTTTTAAGAAAAAAGATAGAGTGCTGAGATCTATATTTGTCGAATAAAAAGCTTCTTTAGTAGATTTTTAGCAACTCAATTTCTAGACATCGTACAAAGGTATAATTTATGTTTCGGAATAGTACAAACATTTCTTTATCGATTGATATCAGTTTGATCAAAAAAAAAAAAAATTAATGAATATTGAATGAGAAGCGTTACAATTACAAGGGAGTCGGTTTTTATTCAATTCTTTTATTTTAATTCTACTGATCAACATAGATTTTTTTTCTAATGCTGCCGTTTTCATGTGAAATGATAATCAAGCTAAGAAAAAGTTCAGTTTTTTTTATTAAATACGGCCTTTATATAACCATACTGTTTTATTCTTCGATTTTGGCGCGTCAACTCATATCTTTTTTTCAATAAATTCGATTGGCAGAATTAGAAAGAAGAAATCCATTCGTCTGCAGAATTAAAACAACTACATGAACCGGCAGAATAAAGAACAGAAGTATGTCTTGTATTGCACATTTTTTTCTCACTAAAAATTTAAAGGCTAGACAAATTACGTAGGATATCTTAGATCAAGATTCGAGTATTCCGTGAATGGATTTCTCCATACAGTACTCTCCAATTCTGACATGCAACTCTTCAAGTAGAATTCGATATGCTCTATCAGATTCACATCACCTTTACCCAAATAAACCAAATTCTTATGAAGAAAACTCAAAAAAAAACATTGAAAAACCCCAAAACCTAGCAAAATCCGAGAAAACCTGTTGCAATTTGCTAAAGAGAATTCTCCAAGTACGAGACACACTTCTTCAGATAGATCTCAACGATCTCTATATGATGGACACCTTTTTGATCTT